ACTCCTGTATCAAACAAAACTCTTAATTTAAGAAAAAATATTAATTTGGCAAATTGCTAACAGAGAGTAGAATCATTTGGGGCAAAATTCACAATCAGATCTAAAGCTAAGTACAGCTTAAGTACAGTACAGTACAGTATAGTACAGTACAGTACATATTCTAATCTTGACTAATAACTATCACAACCAAACCTACAGGAGGCCCTCCCTGGGGTTCCAGGCTGGTTGGCTGGCTTCTCTCATGCACCCCTCCCCAGCTCCACCAGTGGTCAACAAAATCACATTTCTGAAGCTGCAGCTTTGGCCATCTGAGTTAAGAGCATGTTAGTGATTATTTTCAGTTAATCCTAAGAAGTGGCTCCCTGGCCCCTTTCCTAGACCCTGCCGACTCTCCTTGCTCTTCCCCGCCCTCTCAGAAATAGCACAGAGGCAAGCACAAGCATGTCCACATGCTTACTGCCCTGGGCCTGCATTTCACCCAGGCAGGTTTCTCCTACCTGACAGCTGCTCTCCAGATCTCTTCAGGTTTCAATCAGGATTTACCTAAAGGCCCAATTGGCTCAGAACACCTAACACAGGATGGCAAACAGGTTTCATGTTTTCATTAACTCTGACTGATTGGAAGTGGCTGCCTGAAGTGATCAATTAACAAAGACTGTCAAGTGTGTGTGTGTGTGTGCGTGCCTGTGCACATGCACGTGGGATTCATGTGAAATATTTACCATCATTGGTTTAAGGTATTTGTTAACGTTTTCTATAACAGGTTGGCACATTTACAGCTTTTTTTTTCTACCTTGGAGGTTTTTTTTTTTTTCCCTGCAGTAGCTTAGAGTCAGGAAAACCTTAGCTAAAGCACTGGTAGTTTTAAATAGTGCCTGGTTAGGTATTCAGTAGAAACATGCTGTGGTTCCACCCAGGATGTGGTAATCAGGAAGTGGAGAGCAGTGACATCCCAGGAATGAGCATGCTAGATGGTGACAGGGGCAGTCTAGCTTTGTAGAACATGATGCAACACCACCCTTGGGGGGTACTGCCAGACACAGCATGAAAACTCCACTCAACAGCTCTCATTATGAGATGACAACCTAGTGTTCCAGAGCTCAGGGCTGAGACTGTTTGGGCATTGGCTGATGTGCATGATGCAGGGCATCGATGGCGGCCCTGACTGCCCCTGGCTGCCATTGGGATCTGAAAACACAGGACCGTTCATGATTCCTTCTATGGGCTGGAGCTCCAAAGGGAGGTCTGAGGTCTGGAAACATGACACTTTGACCCCAGTGCACACATGATCAAAGAAGGCTACTCCACAGAGTGTTTGCATGAGGATAAGGGCTGATGACTTTGAAGGACAGAAGCCCCAACAGAAAATTGACTCCTCAAGAATGTCCTTTGGGGCCAAGCATGGTGGCTTATGCCTGTAATCCCAGCATTTTGGGAAGCTGAGACAGGAGGATTACTTGAGCCCAGGGGTTTAAGACCATTCTGGACAACATAGTGAGACTCTGTTTCTACAAAAAATAAAAAAATTAGCCATGTGTAGTGGCACTCGCTTGGGGTCCCAGCTCCTCAGGAGGCTGAGGAAGGAGGATTGCTTGAGCCCAGGAGTTTGAGGCTGGAGTGAGCTGTGATCACACCTCTGGACTCCAGCCTGGGCCACAGAGTGAGACCTTGTCTAAAACAACAACAACAACAAAAGAGAATGTCTTTGCAGGGGTTCCTTGTGATTACTCTCCATCCATTCAACCTACACACCCACTATAAATCATCTCCAAAGCCCCTTCCCATGACCCAAGATTCCAATGTTCCTTTGCCACCTGTTGCATAAAGTCTACGCACTTAAAGAGGCTGAGAAGGAGGGAAAAAGTTGAACCATTCCTAGCAACAAGTTCGGACTGAAATCTTAGACTGCACGTTGAGGGTGGGGATTGGGCAGGCTGCTACAGCCAAATCTACACCACCAGATTGGTCCCTGTCCCATATAGAGGAGACAGTATGGTGGAGTAGTTAAGCCCACTGGTTTCGAGAGCACACAGACATGATTCAACTTCTGGGTCTGTTACGTGCTAACTGTGAGACTTTAGGCAAGTTACCTAAATCTCTCTGAGTTCAGTTTCCCTATCTGTAAAATGAGGATGATAACCTTTCACAGAAGGTGGTTGTGGAGATTAAATGAGGTGAGCTGTAAGAGGGGCTTAGGTGGATGTCTGGCACACACCAAGTGTCTCACCTCTGGTCACTGCTATTACTGTGATAGAAGTTCCAAGAAGGCTTCTCTGGGGACTGGTGTGGTTCGCAGAACAGAGCCCAAAGGTTGTCAAAACTCATGAGATGAATAGGAAAGTGGCACATGGAGTAATGATTCCCTGGCCACTGCTTTCCAAAACGGCAGGTGCTGATACCAACCTCAGCAAGACCAAATTTGAATTCATGTTTCTTTCTTCTCTTCCTGCTCTTCCTGCATCTCCCTTACCTTCATCCGCCCCATTGCTCAGGTCCCAAGCCTTGACTCCTCTCTTTCTTTTATACCCCAAATACACACCTTGGGGAAACCTCTCACTGGATTATCATGATGCCTCTCAAGGGGTTGTTTTGCTTCAGCCTTGCCCTCTCTGTTTATTCTCTATCCATTGGAGGCTGTCACATCTACAATCATCTAATGGTTTTCAACCGCACTCAGATTAGAAGCCTCCCAGGCCCTGCCAACTCTGCCCTGTGTCCTCTCTGGCTCATCTCCTGCTCCCACAACCTTGCCCTTGTCCCCCCACCCCTGCAGCACAGTTGCCTGCTGCCTGAACACCCAGCACGCTCCTGCCTGGGGTCCGTCATGCTCACTGCTCCCTCTGCTGGAAGCTCTTCCCCACATACCCATGTCTTTTACACCTTCACCCCTTTCCTGGCTTAGGTGTCACTTTATCAGTGAGGCCTTTCTCATCAACTCTACTTTAAATTGTCCCCTGGGATAGGCTGAAGAATGGCCTTTAAAGATATCCATGCCAGAATCCCTGGAACCTGTGAATGTTGTCTTACGCGGTAAAGAGGACTATGCGATGTGATTAAATTCAGGATTTCGAGATAGAGAGACCGTCCTGATTATCTGGCTGGCCCTGAGTGCAATCAGACATATCCTTATACAAGGGAGTCACAGGGAAATTCAACTATCTATAAGCAGAGAAGGCCATGTGACAATGGAAGCAGAGATTGGAGTGAGGCAGCCACAAGCCAAGGTGGGCCTGCAGCCTCTAGCAGCAGGAAGAGGTAAGGAACGAATGCATCCCTAGAGCCTCCAAAAAAAGCAGGCCCGACTGACACATTGACTTTAGCCCCGTGAAACTGATTTTGGACTTTGAGTCTCCAGAAGCGTAAGAGAATAAATCTGCGGCATTTTAAGCCACCTCATTTGTGGAAATTTCCTATAGCTGCTATAGGAAATGAATACACAACCCTGTGCACCCCCAGCCCCCCATATCCTCACACACCCCGTATCATCCTTCCTACTTTACTTCCCCCTCCAGCCTTATTTGGCTCAGGGCACTTGACTTGTTAGGCTTGTCTGTGTCCCCTCACTAGGATGCCAGCTCCACAAGGACAAGAGCCTTCATCTGTCTTCTTCACCAAGTGGTGCTAATCCACTCTCGTTATAGCCAGATATCTCTGAGTCTTTTTAGTGTTGAGCTGTGTACAGTGGAGCTCATTTTAGAGAAGCCACAGGGTGTGGGCTTGTCCTTGTGGTGCTCAGGGCTGTTGGCAGGTCCTGCTGGGCCCCCAGAGGTTTCTAAGGCCTGTCCTGAGCTGCATTCCCAGGAATTCTGGCCTAACAGGACACTGGCGTGTACTGTGAGGAGAGCCAGCTCCCCCATGCTGGTAACCCCGGTTGGCTGGCCTTTCATCACTACCTGCCAGCGCCTTTCTGTAGAGGAGCTGGTCCACCTGTATTTCAGAGAGCAATTGCCTGAGAGGTTCCAAACCTCCAGGGCCTCCAGAGTCCTCCTGTTTCATGTGGTGCATGGAGGAGGTCACTGCCTCTGAATTGGATCAGATAATTTCCTTACAGGTTAGGACATCAGCTCTCAGAGCAAGCATGGTGAACTCTTAAGGCTGAGCCTGTGAGAGCACTCAGACACCAGGGCCCGGTATTTAATGCAGAGCAGTTCACCAAGATGGTGCGAGAGTCTCTAAATGGCCTCCCATCACCACAGCTGTGGGGCCCTCCTGTCTCTATCTTGCCATGTGTTCAGATCCGTCAACTGTAGAGTCAGTGATGGCCTTGCCTGCCTTCTCCGAGTCTCCAGAGCCTGTCCCCTAAAAATGAGGACTCCCCAGGAAGGGGCCTCTCACTCTGCCTTGCTGTGGCAAACTCACTGTGTGGGAGGCCCTGGGAAGGCTCAGTCTCAGCAGGAGAGGCCAAAGAACTGCTATGGCTCGGGACAAGGTAGGGCTTGTATGCCATGAGCCAGCAGGGGGAGGCTGGTTTCTAGGGGAGATGAGGAAGGAGAGGTGTGTGAAGGTTAACAGCTGAGATCTTGTTGGGGGTCAGACTGCCCGGCTGGTACTCTTGCTGGCCATGTGGGCTTGGACACCTTTCCAAGTCTCAGTTTACTCATCTGTAATATGAGGATGGTAAGGATTGCTGTGAAGCTTAATTTTCATGAGAATAAGTGTGTAAGTAGCTTGGCAGGGTGTCTGGCACATGGTTAGCGTTCAACAAATGTTGAATGTTGGATACTGACGACAGTAATAGTGATGACGATGACAGCAGTGGGCTCTGAGGCCCACAGGCTTTATTTCTTGATCTCAGGGTGAGGGGAAGCCTCAGTCTGTGGGGCCTCTTGCAGCTTCCTATGAGACTCAGGTAGAGGAAAAGGGTTTTCCAACATCCATGGGAGCAGAGAGGACCCTGCTGCCCATAGTCTGAGCTCCACATCCTGGGCTGTTGCTGGCTGGAGCATCAGGTCTGGGCACACATCTGCAGGGGAGCTCATGGCTAGTGGCAAATCACTTACCTTGGCTGTCGTAGGAAGTGATGACCTGGGGCTGCTGAGGGTGCTGCTTCTCCACCAAGTTTTCTATTTAAGGAAGACAGAGAGGCCTGCAGTGACCACTGGGGAATTTTCCTCAGGCAGAGCAGAGTGCTGTATGTGTTTGCAAGACAGGTGGGCTGGTGGGTACCAAGCACGTCCCCAGGCCTAAATGTGTGCACACCCTCGCACACGCGCAAACCAGCACAATGACACTGTGCATGGAGGCAAATGCCTGGAAGCCCATGTGCTTCTTAGCTGGTGCTAGCACAGACTGGTTTCTTCTGGAACAGGCTACCAGTCTTCCATGGTCTTTGTAGCCATAGCTCCCAACTCTGGTGTCACCAGGCACAGTTTCAAAGTCCTGTCCCATACACAGATGGCTCGTTGATCTTCACACCTTTCTATGGAGCAGGCTTAGAGGTTCTGACCTGGGACTTGGTCCACAGGTCTTCTGATTCCCAGTTGAGCCTCCTCCTCCTTTTTTTTTTTTTTTTTTTTAAGATTCAGTCTCACTCACATGCGCCAGGCCGGAGTGCAATGGCATGATCTCTGCTCACTGCAACCTCCACCTTTAGGGTTCAAGCGATTCTCCTGCCTCAGCCTCCCAAGTAGCTGTGATTACAGGTACATGCCACCATGCTTGGCTAATGTTTGTATTTTTAGTAGAGACTGGGTTTCACCATGTTGGCCAGGCTGGTCTCGAACTCTTGACCTCAGGTGATCCACCCACCTCAGCCTCCCAAAGTGCTGAGATCACAGGCGTGAGCCACTGTGCCCTGCCTCCTGCTTCTTGATGAGAAGAACAGGGAGGCCAGCCTGCTGCCTACTCTGGCCTAGCAGTTGGGATGATGTGTAGTTTGTTTCTGTTTTACAGACATTTGCAGGGTATGAACTCTATGCACATTCTCTCCAATCGCTGGGATATTTCTGTCCCTGGGACACAGAGTTGTCCTCAGAGCCTAGTGGGGTCAGGCTGCTGTGGAGTGATGCCTGGTTCCTGCCATAGGCCAGGAAGGGGTAGCTGACAGGCTTACTTGCCCTCCTACGGGAAACATGACCTTTCCTCCCTTCTTTACAGCTGCTGCTGTGGCCTGCTCTGACTGAGGCTGCCCTTGAGCCTCTGCTTCAGAAGGGCAGGAGGAGAGGCTGTGGGCAAGAGGAGGATTGTGGCAACTGGGGCTTCCCCCACCACTACCAGCCTGGCCTGCCATCTTTTCTCTATAGCTTCCTGCTGGCCTGCAGTGGGCTTGTCACTGGAAGTGACCACTGGGACCAGTGCCTCTGTCTGGAAACAAGTATGCCTCTGGGGCCTTCGCCTGAACAGGTCCATTTAGATGATTCTTCTTGTGCAGATCAGCCACTCAGTGCTTCCCATGCCTGGGCTTACACAGAAGCCAATCAAGGTGGGGGGGGAGGTACTGAGCCAGGCTGGATTTGTGATCCACCTGGCAGGGTCTTGCCCTGGAAAGGCTGCCTACTTCAGCCTTCTCCTATGAACAGGCCCAGCTAGGTCCCTGAGCCCCACACTGTCAGCTGAGGGCCAGGTCCACTGACTGGGTGGGGTGAGAGTGAGGTGGCATGTGGGACTGGAGCCCCAGGCCAGACTCAGGCAAGGACAGGGAGGCCAGGGCCACCTCCTGTAGGCATAGCTGGCAGCGCCACGGCTGGCTGAGGAAGGAAACAAGATCTGAGAAGGGAATCCTCAAGGAGGGTGATTGGCTGGCATAGCTGCTGTGGGGTATTTATAGTCAGGGCTGCACAATTGGTTTCCCTTTAGCTGTGGGGCATCAGTCCCTGTGCTGCTAGGCAGACTTCAGCCAGGACCAAGGAAACCAGCCAATCACAGCAGGGGAAGCCCGTTGCTGGGCAAGCTATTGGGATGGGGTGGCAGGGGTGAGGAGGTGGCTGGGCCCAAACACCTGCTGCTTGGAAAAGTTTGGAGCTCTCTAGTCTCCCCAGCACCCTGCCAATGCCCCAGCCCAAGCAGTGCACATGGTAGCGCAGAGGGGGAAAATGTGCCCTTCTGGATCAACCCTGCACTCAGCAGTATCTGTGTGCACTTCACCAGCACATGCCATCAGCTGCTTCCTTCTCAGAGGGAAGCCATCCAGTGACCAGGGCTGGGCGGCCTGCTGGTTCCCAGGGCTGGGTGCCTTGGGCACGAGTAAGGCAGGTATAAGAAAAGGTCAGTTTCAATACCTGCACCCGGCATCTCAACATCAGAAAACACAGAAAGAAACTAATTTTAATTTCTGCATGCATGCAAGCATACCATTTGAAAAATAAATGAAATTTTGTTTTCATATGTTGGTGGAGTGGTGGAAGCATCATTTTTTTCTGGGCTCAGGGCCTCTATGGAGCTTCTCTCCAGCCCTGCATTTATCTGAAACTCCTAGTTCTCATGGTGGTTTTGCAAGAACTATTTTAATCATCCTCTATCAGCTGACACACAGTGCTAAGATCCACTTCATGTCTTTTACCAGAGTCTTGTAATGGTCTTGTAATAGTCAATGTGTCACTTTGTGTTTTGTGATATTTTTCCACTAACCTTCTCCCAAATCGGACACCCAGAAGATGGTAAAAATAGAATGAATTCAGTATATTTCAGTCCTCTCCTGATGTAATAATATGCCTGAGAAGCCCTAAGATGAGTGTCAGACAACTCAGGCAAGGTATAAGACAGCTGCAACCAACAAGGACGCTGTGCTTCTTTGGTTCCACCTGTGGCTTGCTTGCCCACTCACCCACTCACACATGGCCTAGCAAGCTTGCTTTGCATGCCCTGGATGGCCATTTCTGTGGCTAACAGGGTCTGATTCTTGTTAAAATTCTCAATAGCCCACAGCAGAGTTCCGTTAGCTTTGGTGTCTACTTTAGTAGAGCTAAAGCTGGCACGTCTACCAGCTGATGGCCCATCTAGCAAGGTTGGGGAAGCCATTGCACCCATGCATGCCCATCAGTTAGGACACAGAGGGGTGCCTCCCTGACAGTGGTATGGCAGGTGGGGGTGTCTCAAGGACTTTTACCAAAGGCAGGGGACACAGGAAGACTCTTCACCTCCAGGGTGTTAGGACTCACCCGCTGTGCATTGATTCCGATCATTTTAACGTAGCCCCCTGAGGGCAGAGTTCTTGGTTGCCTTGTTGATTGTTTCATTTCCAATACTTAGAATCATTGAGAGAGGTTCCTTCAGACTGTATTTGATAAGCCAGTCATTTGATTCCCAGGACCACATAGCTGGGGGCTGATGGAGTTTTCTACTGGGGCTCTGGGAGCAGAGTTTTGACCCCCATTGGAATCCTCACATGCTCACTGTGCAATGTCCCTGATGTTTGTCCCTGGAGGCTGGGCTAATAAACTCTAAAGGGAACAGAATAAAGGCCATTATAGTTGGCCCCTTAGTGTTCCCAGAGAGATCCTGGGCCTAGGGCAGCAGATGCCTGGCACCAGAAAAAAGAGGCTTTGGAAGCTGACTTCTTATTGTATTTAGGGTCCTAGGCCAGCAGGGAGCTATATACAACCCTTGAGTGGCATCTTCTCAGGCTTCAAGTCATACTGACCTAAGGCAGACCACTGTCCTCTCTGTTGGGAAGCATTTTCAAATGATGGATGGCGTGCACCACATAAGCAGTCTTGCCTCTCATGGGAGCACTCAAACCTCACCATCCCAAGGGATGTTAAGTCCTCCCCTTCAGCTCAGCCAGCAAACAGATGGGTGCTCAAGTTCCTGGCACTGCTCTTCAGCTACAGGCTCCAGGACAGCAGGGGACCTGACACCAGGGAATATTTCCCACAGTCACAGTGGCCCTAGAGGCCTGGCCGGCTCAGGAGCGGCCACTATCTGTTCAGTGGTTGGATGTCTAGGGCTAGTCTTCAAACAAGTGAAACCCAAGCCTTCCAGTTATTATTCAATGTATTAAATCCTATAGGTTGACAGAAAAAAGAGAATTTACCGTGCAGTTCATTTCCTTCTAATTTCTGCCATCTTCGGACTCCATTTCCAACGCCTTGGAATCCTGCAAAATAACAAGTTTCTCTGAGGCGGGAGACCCAGGGCAAGAGTAATGTACCAGTTGCAGACTTATCTTGGTTCTGGTAGAGCAGGTGGATTTTGGCTCTCTTGGAATCTGAGAGAGGCCGCCTATGAATAAGATACACTTGAGGGAATGAATGCAACTCTCAAAATTCAAACCATTAAAAGTCAAAACAGTTTTCAAGGGCAGTGGGGTTGGTTATCAGGTTCATTTGGGGAGAATTTCTGTAGTACAGATGCCCATTTCCACTCCCACCTCTCCACTGCACACATATGAAAGCATTATTTTAGAAGTCACTTGCTATCCATGTTGCCTGCCTATTTCTGTATGTGCTGAATCACCCACTTTTAGAGTCTTGATATAAAGTGGGGGGAGTGGGCAAAGACCGTCAATCCAATGGGAACTGAAAATGACAGTTGTCTGTTCTCTTGGCCTCCCTTGCAGCTAGAGGGTGGACACGTATGGTCTAGCCATAGCCAATCAGAAGTACCTGTGTTCCACTCTGCCTTGGGACCTGGTGATGCAACAGGGAAGGGAAGGAAAGCTCTCACTCTGGCTGAGGCTGGAAGTGGTAGCCGCAAGGTCGAGTTTCTGGCACAGCATGAGGATACGTTCTGGCAGCAGGAGCTGCTGCAATAAAATTGAGATCCTGGCGCAGAAGGAGTATCCAGTGCTCGTTGGTGGCTGAGGAGGTTTCCTCAGCAGACCAGCTCTGTGGTGCTGCTTATGGCACTGTTCCTGGAAGCTCAGCCTCGAGTCTTATTCTCTAGCCCCACTCAGGGGCCGCCACTCTTTGCACCCAAGGGAGGCCTTGGAACAAGCCGGTCTTTTGGGGCATTTTCCTCCCTTAGGCTGTGTTTCAAGGAGTGGGTCTGCAAGTTGGCTTAGCCTGGGGTCTCCTGAATATCACTGCTGCCCACCAGGCATCGAAAGCCATGCACTTTCCCTCTTCTCTGCTCTGGTTGTGAATAAGTGACACAGCTCTCTACACTATCCTTCAAAGCATCTGTGAGAAACTGCCATCAGAAAAATGTTTGGAGAAAAAGATCAGCAGAAAGGGCCCAGCAATTACGGATCTTTTTTTCTCTACCATAGTCATGAGCGTGAATACATTAGTCTGGAGTCATGGGGAATTTGTGCTAGGTGTTGGGCACCTCTCAGGGCAGTCCTGATGCCTGGTATTTCTGGGGCTTCTCTGCATTCTTTGTCTTCCCTAGTGTCAGAGCCTTTCAAGTGATGTGATCAGAGAGGACTGGGAGTAGGGGACTCCTGGGCCGACCTGGAACTAGGCCTCATCACACACTGGAGAAGGCCTTTTGGACAGTGATATGTGTGTTCAGAGCAGTCTCATTTCTATCAAAAAGTTGATGACTTCTGCTGATTTTCTAACTACAACTACCCTGGGTGGCCATTTCCCCTTCTCCCAACAGCAAGTCTGAGAACTAAAAAGTCAACCAATCCAAACAACTCCTGCTTCAGTCAGGAATCAGTCCTGAGACTAGAGTGCTGGTCAGTATACTCAGCCCTTCAGAATCTGTTTCTTTCCCCTGCCTGCCTCCCCAAGAGGTCCCCAGTGCTCTGGGGGCAGCTCCAGCCTGTGTGTCTGGTAGTGGCAAGGCCATCATAGCACCACTGCTTTAGCAAGGCAGGTGGAAGGTGGATCCTCAGTGCGCACAGAGGCTCTGGGGACAGAAGAACCAGGGGCAGAGCAGCAGCAGGTATTCCAAGGAGCTCCAGAGCTGGAGGAGAAGAGGGAGGCAGAAATCATTCTCCTGCATGGCTTCCAGGCCTAACTCCTAAAGAACTGGCTCACAGTCCTCCTGGTGCATCCTCACACCAGCCTCCCAGACAGCTTGTGATCCAGGACCCTGAGGTTCTCTGGTTTCTCAGGGGTTTATTTAACCCCTGCTGCACTCTATTCACATTGTGTTCTGTCGTCGGGAGAACAGAGAGGCCTGGATCCTGCTTTCCACAATCACTCTATAAAGAGTCACTTTATCAATCTACAATTTGCAAATTTACCCAGAAAGTATGTAGGACAAGTAAACTTGATGGATAAGTTCAAGTGGAGACAGCAGGTTTCAAATCTTACCCTATCCAAACCTGCATTCCTTTTACCCCTTTCATGCCTTTCATCTATAGGAGGCTGGGAGAAAGTCTCAAGAAAGGAGAAACCGAGGCTGTAAATCGTGCAAGGCCACACAGGGCGTTCCCCATCTCAAAGTCTGACTCAGCACAAAGGCTTCCCTGCGTCGGGTGTGCCCTGCAGTGTGCTGTGGGGGGAGCAGGCCTTTGCTACCCATGAGTCAGGCCTGAGGCTCTGGCCCCTTCCTCCAGGGTATCTTCCAGTTCTGCTCTATACCCGTCAGAGAGTGACTCGGAGGAAAAAGACTCCCTGGGGTGACGGAAGCACCCACAGGCCAGCACAGGGAGTCAAACTGGGGCAGTCACGGGGCTGCGCGTTGCCACGGGGCTGCGCGTTGCCACGGAACGCTGGTGACACCGTGGCGAAGCGATGGCAGCCTTGGGGGAGAGGATCGGGCTTGCTGACCTCGTTCGGGGGAGCAATGGGCGCCCCCCGGCGGGCGGGCCCCTGTGGCGAGGAGACCGAGGTGCCGGGGAACGCGGGGACGTGGGTCGGGCGCGCGTTACCTCCTCGGCACTGCAGCAGTGCGCTCGGGTCCGCCTGCTGGTCTGAGTGCGCGCCCTGTGCGGCGCGCCGCTTTTCCGAGTGCACGATCAGCAGCATGTCGATAGACACGGTGTTGATGTCCTTCTTCAGCTCCATGGTGCCGCCTCCCTTCCGACCTGGGCGCCGCGGCCGCACGCTAGGCTGCTTGCGCTGCAAATGGCCCCGTGCGCGCCGCTGCTCAACTCGGGAGAGGGCGAGGGCGCGGGAGAGGGCGCTCCCCCGCCGCTGCAGCCTCCGGGCGCTGCGTTTCGCTGACTCTGCCAAACACGCCATTAGGGCCTGCCTGGGAGGGCGCTACCCTAATGAAGCGGCTCTAAGTCACCTTTGAAAGGAAATCCCCGTGCTGAGCCTTGACCTGCACCGGGGCCACAGTCGGCAGAGGCCCTCCAGTCCAGGGCCTCCCTCCCCTCGCCCCTGCCTACTGCCCGGTGCTCTTGGAGCGCTGGTCCTGAGCTCCAGGACTTCTCCACGGGCTGAGCGCCGCCTCATCCCCACGGTCTCCAGGGGGTTCCTGAGAGGGCCCGGAGCCGACCTCCCAAGAGAAGCCACTGGCAAATACAGAAATCGTACAGTGCTGTCAACACTGAGAGTTGGTTCAGGAAAAGGAAAGGCAACAAAGGGGTCCAGATTGAATTACAAGATGTGCAGAAATTGACCAAGTTTTGGCTTTGACCTCACTCATTCCCTGGGTGGGTTTTGGAGGTTGACAGCTCTCTCCCTAGGAGACAGTTGGGTGGGGTGTTGGAGTCAGGAGCTCCCCACCAATTACAGCCCCTCCAGAACTTGGAACATGCCCACTGAGTATCAAGCTAACGATCCTCTTTGGTCTGAAAGCAAAGACTTAAAATCTCTATTCCTTCTAGAAGCCTGGCTCCTGCCCTGTGGGGAAGGAGGGAGGAGGAGAGGAGGAGGCTGGGGCAGAGGGAGCTGGACCTGAGAAGCCTTCTATTTTTAGCCTGGCCTGGCCTGCCCAGCCAACAGCAGCAGGGGTTTGGCTGCAGCTCTCAGGAGTGTTTACAGAGGCTTCTGCCTGGTACGTCTGGGCACTATAGGCTCACCCTGCTGGGGGCGCTCCTCTAATTCTGGTTTCTACTGTTAATAAATGCCCCACATGTGGAAGCCTGTGCTCTGGGAGCCCTCCCCGCATTGGAGTGTATGGCACCCACCTTGCAGCACGGTCCTGAGAGTTCCCAGATCCTCCTTGGAGCAGCCTGTGTCACACAGACTGCATTCCAGTACCTACTCCACCACTTCCTGGCGGTGTGGACTTTGACCAGCCATATCCTGCCACCTTCTCACCCTTATCATCGGGTTAATAAAAATTTATCACATGGCTGCTGTGAGAATGGCGTGAATGTAAGGCACCTGGTATATACAAAGTGATCTTCAAATGGTAGCTGTCATTCTTACTTCATTTTAAGGGTGAGGAAAGGGACAGATGGAATGACGAGTTACTGATGGAGTGGGGGAGCAGGAAAGATGTCATAGCCACACCCTAAGATTCTGAAGGTCCTCCCCCAATGACAGTGGCTCAGAATTTGGTCCTATGTAAAGGCTGTCATCTGATTGCCTTGTCACTCCCCCCTCACCCACTGGGCATCTGATGAAAGGAGAGGTTGTTAGCTTCCAGCAATGTTGAACTGGAGTGCCTAGAGAGCTGAGCCCATAGGCAGACAAGTGGAGATGGGTGGCTCCCAAGGCAGGTTTCTTTCTGCTAAAGTGAGTCTTGTCCCGTCTGCATGTGTGCAGGCACACACATGCACATGCACATGCACATGCACACACACACACATATTCCTACCTGGGAGGCTGGCTAACACTGTTCTCTATGTGACTGGGGAAGTAAGAACTATGAATTATGCAAAGCTCTTTGGGCGCTGGAGATTGCTGAGGCAGATTTCAGGTCCCATAGCCCCTCCAACTGCCCTGGGCCAGTCAGTGTTGCCTAACCCTTTCAAGTGTCAGGTTGTCTGAAGTGCTGAAACCAACTAGAAGCCCATGTGCAGCACTTCTGGTTGCTGGATGGGTCTGAGTGCTGGTGGTGGTGGGAGCTGAAGGCCCCTTTCCTTACACTTGCATTCCCATCTCCCAACCCTTGCTCTCCTGCTAGAAAATGTCACTCCTAGGAACTTGCCAACTCTGGTGCTCCCTCCCAGAACTGCCTCTGGAGAAGGATACTCTGACCTGGGAATGTGCTGCCAGGGGTCTGGGGAGATGGTGTGGAGGCCTCCTGTTTCTCTGCCGTGTATGAAGATGGCATCGGAGCAGGGTCTCTCATCCTTGGCACTGTTGACATTTTGGGCCAGATAATTCGCTTTTGTGGGACTGTCCTGTGCACGGTGGGATGTTTAGCAGCATTCCTGGCCTCTACCTGTTAGATGCCCATCACATTCACTTCCCGATTGTGACAACTTAGAATGTCTCCAGACACTGACCAGTGTTACCTTTGGAAAGAACTGCAGTGTGAACAACGCTTTGGAGGAAACTCCTGAAATTGGAGTCACCTTGGCTGCTCTGGGAGATGCTGTTGACCCTGGCTCCTGATGCTGCCTGACACCTAGACCCTCTCCCCAGAGGTTTACCCATGGCCATCAGTCCAACAGCCTGGCTTCTGGGGCCTGCCGGGAGCATAGATGAGATGCTCCTATTAATGCCAACTCTAGTCCCATCCTTGACCTGGGTTGACCCAGCTGCTTCCCCTCTTCCCCACTATCCATTCCTGGGCTGAGAGGGAGACACCATGTGGAAGGTGATGTGGCTGAGGGCATTTGGATGTATCAGAAAAGCAGAAGGAGAGACAAGGGAAGACTGAGGTGGCTGGGATATCATTCAGGAAGAGGCTGTATCCCTTCTGCTCAAACCCCTCCTCCAGCTGCTCACTCTATCAACAGGACAAATGACAGAACCCCCAGCCTCCAAATCCCCGCACCCATCTCTTCTCTTTTCCCTACCGAATCTACGCGTGCTTCAGCCAAAGCCGTGCCCTCCACACCCCAAACACACCGCACTAGCCCCTCCATCCTGCCACTATCTTGAATAAAAAAGATGCAAGGCTCTCTGTATTCTGACGTAAATAAATAAAATCTGCATCCTTGTCTTAGCAACTGACAAATCAGGGGCTTTCTCCATTTTTGAGCAAAACTTTATTTTAATCACAATGAGTGGGAAATTCCAGGATACAGAAAGACAAAGAGCAGTCAAAATAGCTGTATTGTCACCTTTGTCAAATTTAACACTCACATACATCCAGCTGTCAGCAACCCTGCATCCACTCCTTTGCTGGAAGGTGAGATTTGTCAGTTGCCTGAATGGTTCTGGGACCTGAGTTGGTTCTGCTATCTTGGAGATGAGGAGTGTCCACTATCTTGGAGATGAGGAGATGGTTCCGCTATCTTGGAGATGAGGGGCAGTGCTTACTCCTGACAATTGAACCCGTCACCAGAGCTGAGTGTGTTTTGACTCTCAGTTTTCCCTCAGAAGTAGTAGTTTTGCAGGGACCATCAGTCACAGCTGTTTTACCACTCCTGAGATTCCAAGAGGCAAGTTTCTCTTTTCTCTATAGAGGTAGAGTAAGTAAGCCACTACAAGAAAGGCTTTTGGCAGGGAATTTTCTCCACTGATGCCATGGGGAAGAGGCACACAGAGAGTGGCATGGCTTGGCGAAGAGTAACAGACCAAGTCCCAGTCTTCTAACTCCCTCATCCTCCCTGAGATGGGTGAATCTTTACACGGAGCACTGGATACTTTTCCCAGAAACCTTTCCACAGCCCGTGTAGGCTTCTCGTGGCCTCTTGACCAGCCTGGCTTAGCTTGCTTCTGCTTCTGAGCCTTTGCTATTGCTATGACTTCTGCCTGGAAAGCCCCTTTGGACTTCCCTGGTAAGTACAGTCTAGGCATCCTTCCAGACCCTGTGGGGAGGGTCTCATGGCTGTGGTTTCATAGTTGGAGGTGGGTATAGAAGGAACTGGAGCATTCCCTCCTCTCTACCTTGAAGCTTTCCTGGATACCCCAGTCCTTGGAGCTCCTGGGGATTGCCAGTGCTCTGTGGTGCCTCTTTTTACAGTCCTGATAGTTAATTTGGAAGTTCACCTCTGCTCTTGTCCTACACCCACCAAATTTGGAAAACATATCAATCCCCTCTGGAGCAGTTATGCCAGGCAAACCTGTTTCCAGACACTGTCTCCCAGCAGGGTGATATTGAACAATGTACTTAACCTCTCTCTGAGTCTCAGTTTTCCTCATCCATCAAGTCGGTGAGGTTGTTGATGGGATTAAATGAGATAAAGTACTTAGCTGTGGGTAGTTATAGCTATGGCAACTTCTTGTCAGACACCCTGCTTGGTCCTGCTCTGGGGAAGATCTCATGGATGTGGTTTCACAGTTGGAGAGGGTGTGTAGAAGGAACTGGAGGCATCCCTGACCTCCCATGTTGCCTTCCTTCCTGTATCACTGCTCTGTGGCCACTGTTCTACCATCACAGAGAAACTCAGTGAGCCACAGAATCCATTCCTTTAACTGACATCAGATCTGTGCAGCTGCAGCCTGTCTGGCAGGAGTTACGGCACGGCACAGTTCTGCTTCCTTCCCACCCCAATGGCACTTGTGAACTCTCTGTGCGCGTTCAGTAGGATGTACCTTTGCATTATCTCCATGTTATAGATGAGAAAACAGAGGCTTAGAAACCTAAGGTGACCTACTCAGGGTCTCACATGTATCTTACAGATAGCAGGGGACACCCAACCCTTGACAGTCCACCCAACTCTGCGTACTCATGTGCTGACCAACACCTGCCCACCCCTGCCCTGTATGACCATAACATGCCCATGAGCTGAGGCTGCGTAGTGCCCAGGCCAAGGAAAAGATCAGCTGTCAGCTTTTGGAGAGCATGTTCTTAACAATCATGAGATATACACCTTGACCTGGGGTTTCAAGAACTCTTTTGAGGTCCCTGGAAAAATTATTTGAGCTCAAGCCATGAGCTGGGCCTTTGGGGACAGATTTTACAGACTCTGTGGCATCAGTTGTTTTGGGTGGGGTGGGAACTGTGGCAGTGGCAGTAGGGAAAAGTTGGTGGCTGGGAGCATTCAGCAGTCTTCAGGAGCAGTGAGGTAGCCCTGCCAGGAATGGAGAGGAAGGCAGAAGACTGCCATTTTTGTAGACAGCAAAAAAAATTTTGTGTTGCGATAG